ATTGGACAGCACTCTCTTCTGACTTCTAGGGTTTCTGTTGAGAGATCTGCTGTGAGTCTGATGGGCTTCCCTTTGCGGGTAACCCGACCTTTCTCTCTGGCTGACCTTAGCATTTTTTCCTTCATTTCAACCTTGGTGAGCCTGATGATTATGTGCCTTGGGGTTGCTCTTCTTGAGGAATATCTTTGTGGTGGTCTCTATATTTCCTTGACTTGAATATTGGTCTGCCTGGCTAGATTGTGGAAGTTCTCCTGGATAATATCCTGAAGAGTGTTTTCCAGCTTGGATTCATTCTCTCTGTCACATTCAGGTACACCTATCAAATATAGATTAGGTCTTTTCACATAATCCCATATTTCTTGGAGGCTTTGTTCATTTCTTTTCACTCTTTATTTCTCTAGTCTTGCCTTCTCATTTTATTTGATTGACTTGATCTTCAATCTCTGATATCCTTTCTTCTGCTTGGTCAATTTGGCTACTGAAAATTGTGTATGCTTTGCGAAGTTCTCATGTTGTGTTTTTCAGCTCCATTAAGTCATTTATATTCTTCTCCAAACTGTTTATTCTCATTAGCATTTCATCAAACCTTTTCTCAGTGTTCTTAGTTTCTTTGCATTGGTTTAGAACATGTTCTTTTAGCTCAGAAAACTCTGTTATTACCCATCTTCTGAAGCATGTTTCTGTCAATTCATCAGACTCATTCTCCATCCAGCTTTGATCCCATGCTGGTGATAAATTGTAATCCCTTGGAGAAGGAGAGCCATTCTGGTTTTGGATGTTTTTATCCCTTTTGTGCTGGTTTCCTCCCATCTTTGTGGATTTATTTACCTGTGGTATTTGTAGTTGGTGACTTTCATATGGGGTCTCTGAGTGGATATCCTTTTTGTTGATGATGAAGTTATTGCTTTCTGTTTTTTAGTTTTCCTTCTAACAGGCAGGCCCCTCTGCTGTAGGGCTGCTGGAAGTCCACTCCAGACCCTGCTTGCCTCAGAATCACCCACGGTGGCTCCAGAATAGTAAGGGTTGCCTCCATTTTCTTCTTCTGTTATCTTCAACCCAGAAGGATACCTGCTAGATGTCAGCCTGAGCGCTCCTTTCTGAGGTGACTCTTTGGATCTATGGGGGTCAGGAAGCTACTTGAGGAGACAGTCTGTCCCTTATAAGAGCTCAAGTGCTGAGCTGTGAGCTCCGTTGTTGTGTTCAGAGCTTTTGGGTAGGTACGTTTAAGTCTGCTGCAGTGGAATTCATAACCACCTTTTTTCCCAAGTGTTCGGTCCTGGTAAGGTGAGGATTTATTTATAAGTTCCTGATGTGCTGCTGCCTTTTTTTAGAGTTGCCTTGTCCAGCAAGGAGGTAGCCTAGTCACAGTGTGCCAGCAGAGGAATTGCTGAGCTGCTGTGGGCTCTGCCCAGCTGCTATGTGAGCTTCCTTGTGGTTTTGTTTATAGAGGTATAGTTAGAACTGCCTCAGTAATGGCAGTCTGCCTCAGTAATGGTGGACTGCCTTGGTAATGGTGGACTGCCTTGGTAGTGGCAGACTACCTTGGTAATGGCGGATGCCCTTTCCCCAACAGAGCTGGACCATTGTGGGTCCAGCTGTGCTTGCTGTGAAACTCTCAATCCAGAGCATTTCAGATTGCTGGTCTTTGTGGGGGTGGGATCCACTGAGCCAGATCACCTGGCTCCCTGTTTCAGTCCCTTTTCTTTCAGTTGAATGGGTTGCTCTGTCTCCCAGGTGTTTCAGGCACCAGTTGAAATGTCCACCCAGATTTTTTTGAGTTTTTGTGCAGAGACTGCACCATTTGAAACAGCTGTGCTGAAAATCCATGGCAATCTCACTTTTGGAATCTCCTCATCTGTGGGCAGTAATAACTCATTTGAAAATGTGGTGTTCACTTACCGTCTGCATTGTTCTCACTGGGAACTGCACTTCAGAGCTGTTCCTATTCAGCCATCTTGGATCTGCCCCCTTCAACTGTTTTTCTTACGTGTGGGAGCTAAAAAATTAAAACAATTGTACTTATGGTGATAGACAGTAGAATGATGATTACCAGAGGCTGGGAAGAGTAGTGAGAGGTGGAGAGTGGGTGATTAACAGGTACAAACATATCATTAGAGTGAACAAGATCTAGTATTTGATTGCACACAGGATGACTATAGTCAAAAATAATTTATTGTACATTTAAATGTAACTAGAAGAGTATAATTGGATTGTTTGTAACATAAAGGAAGGATAAATACTTGACAGATAACTCATTTATGCTGTTGTGATTATTGTGCAATGTGTACATCTATTATGTACTCTCAAAAATAAAAAATAAATTAAGAAAACAAGAGAGGTTAGAAGGCAGTAAATTATGTATTTAAAGGGTTGTATGATAATATAAGCTATCAACCAGCAATTCAACATCCAGCAGAGCAATCTTTCCAAAACTGAAGGTAAAATAAAGACATTTTCAGATAAACAAACACTGGGAGAATTGCTTCTAGCAAGCTGGGTTTATAAGAAATTCCAGACAAAGTCCTTCAGATGAAAAGCAAATGACTCCAAATGATAACTGCAATCCATGGAAGTAAACAGTGCTGCTATAAATTCTTATGTAGGTAAATATGAAAGACAGTATAATAATTATCTTTTTTCTAAATTTATTTAAAAGAAAGCTACATAAAACAATAGTTATAAAATTAATGTTGGGTTTATAATATGTAAAGTTATAACATACAAATTTTTTTCTTTGTTTCTTCTAAAAAAAAAAAAGGGATATATGTACAGAATGTGCAGGTTTGTTACATAGGTATACCTGTGCCATGGTGGTTTGTTGCATCTATTGACCCATCCTCTAAGTTCCCTTCCCTCACCCCCCAACAGGCCTTGGTGTATATTGTTCCCCTCTCTTTGTCCATGGTTCTCAATGTTCAACTCCCACTTATGAATGATAACATGCAGTGTTTGGTTTTCTGCTCCTGTGTTATTTTGCTGAGGATAATGGCTTCCAGCTTCACCCATGTCTCTGCAAAAGATGAGGCCTCATTCTTTTTTATGGCTGTGTAGTATTCCATGGTGTATATGTACCACATTTTCTTTATCCAGTCTATAATTGGTGGGCATGTAGGTTGCTTCCATGACTTTGCTATTCTAAATAGTGCTGCAATAAGCATATGTGTACATGTGTCTTTATAGTAGAATGATTTCTATTCCTTTGGGTATATACCCAGTAATGGGATTGCTGGGTCAGATGGCATTCCTGATTCTAGATACTCGAGGAATCACCATACTGTCTTCCACAATAGTTGAATTAATTTACATTCCTACCAACAGTGTAAAAGCGATCCTATTTCTCCAGAGGTTCGCAAGTATCTATTGTTTCCTGACTTTTTAATTATTACCATTCTGACTGGTGTTAGACGGTATCTCATTGTAGTTCTGATTTGCATTCCTCTGATGATGTGTGATATTGAGCTTTTTTTCCTGTTTGTTGGCTGCATAAATGTCTTCTTTTGAGAAGTGTCTGTTCATCTCTTTTGCCCAAGTTTGGATGGTTTTTTATGTTCCTGTAAATTAACATACAAGTTTTATGAAGATACACATTTCCTTTCTTTTAAGTAAATACTTGTAAGTGGAATTCTGGGTAATATGATACATTTACACTTTTACTTTTTTGCTTTATGTATATTGAGGCTCTGTTTCTAGATATGCATGTGTTCATACTTGATATGTTCCTTGTAATCATTTTATCTCTAATAATATTTTTCCCTAAAGTCTATTTTTGTGATAAGTACAATTAGTATATTAACATACTACATAAGTTTACTGTTTCAAAGGCTTATCATTTTCCATTCTTTTACTGTCAGCCTATTAGTATCTATGACTCTAAATTATTTCTCTTATAGATAGCTTATATTTTGATCTTTTTTAAAAAAATCCATATTGACAATCTCTGCCTTTTTATTGGTGCATTTAATCTGTTAATGGTAATCATAGTGAAAAGAAAGAAGAAGAAGATGGAGCTATGTTGGAGCTTTCTGTATTTTGGCATATTTTGTATACTTTATAAAAATATATTTTTAGTAATTTTAGATGGTATTAAAAGAATAACAGAGGGATAGATCACATAAATATATAGAAATCAAATAGAAAATGGGAGATGTATAGGTAACCATTTCAATAAATATGTTAAATGTAAACAGACTAAGTGGTGCAATAAAAGGACAGAGATTGTCAGCATGAATTAAAAAACAGGATCACAATACTTGCTGTCTACAAGAGAAGTAATTTTGATTCATAGACACAAACAGGCTGAAAGTAAAAGGATGGAGAATGATAAGCCTTTGGAATAATAACCATATGCAAGCTACAGTAGTTATGCTAATATCACAAAAACAGACTTTAAGGAAAAAATATACTAAAGATAAAATAATCACAAGAAACATAAAAAAGTATAAACAATGTATAGCTAAAAACAGAGCGCATATATATATATAGATATATATGTGCTCTGTTTTTATGTATATATATATATGTATACATATATATATACATATATATACACATATATATGTGTGTATATATATATATATATACATCAAACAAGTAAAAAACATAAATTTACCATATGACTCAGCAATTCCAATTACAAGTATCTAGCCAAGAGAAAGGAAATATATATCTCCATGAATATTTTTATGCAAGTGTTCACAATGGCATTTTAAATTATAGCCCAAAGTGGAAAGAATCTAATGTCCATGAAATGGTGAATTGATAAACACATGTGGTATATCCATAGAATGAAATACTATTCATCAGTAAAAAGGAACTTACTACTGACACATGTTACTACATGGGTGGATCTCAAATACATTATGCTAATTAAAAGAAGCAAGAGTCAAAAGTTAACATGTTGTATGAATACATTAATATGAACTGTTCAAAAAGCATAGCCAACATTTTATGGAATGGGGAATAGTTGAAAGCATTTCCTCTAAGAACTGGAATAAGACAAGGATGCCCACTTTCACTACTCTTATTCACCATAGTACTGGTATTATTAGCCAGAGGAATCAAGCAAGAGAAAGAAATAAAAGGCATCCAAATTGGAAAGGAAGAAGTCAAATTATCACTGTTTGCTAATGATATAATCTTACAACTAGAAAAACCTAAAGACTCCATGAAAAATATCTTAGATTTGATAAGTGGACTTTACTAAAGTTTCAGAATAAAAAATAAACATGTAAAATTCAGTAGTGTTTCTATACACCAGTAATAATCTAGCTGAGACTATTCACAATAGCAAAGACAGGGAATCAACCCAAATACCCCCCAAGGATAGACTGGATAAAGAAAATGTAGTACCTATACACCATGGAATACTATGCAGTCATAAAGAAGAATGAAGTCATATCCTTTGTAGGGACATGGATGGAGCTGGAAGCCATAATCCTCAGCAAACTAACACAGGAACAGAAAACCAAACACCACATGTTCTCACTTATAACTGGGAGCTGAACAATGAGAACACATGGAAACAGGAGTGGGAACAACACACACTGGGACCTGTTGGGGGGGTGAGGTGAGGGAAGGAAGAACATTAGGAAAAATAGCTAATGCATGCTGAGCTCAATACCTAGGAGATGGGTTGATAGATGCAGCAAATCACCATGGCACACGTTTACCTGGTTTGCACGTCCTGCACGTGTACCTCATAACTTAAAATTAAAATTAAAAAAATAAGCTAGCTGATAATAAAATTAAGAAGACAATTCCATTTACAATAGGAACAACAATAACAAAAAAATACCTAGGACTAAGTTTAACCAAAGAGGTATTATTTAAAAAATCTCCACAAAGAAAACTAAAAAACACCAATGAATGAAATTCCAAATGGTACAAATCAATGGAAATGCATCCCATGCTCATAGATCAGAAGAATTAATATTTTTAAAATGACCATACTGCCTCAAGCAATCTAAAGATTTAATGCGATTCATATCAAAATACCAACATGAATTTTTACCAAATTACAAAATAGATCATGAAACTCATATTGAACCAAAAGAGTCCAAATAGTCAAAGCAAACATGAGCAAAAAGAAAAAGTGGGAGGAATCATATTCCCTGACTTCAAACTATACTATACAGCTACAGTAACCATAACAGCATGGTACTGATATAAACATAGACACACAGGTCAATGGAACAGAATAAAAATCCAGAAATGAAGCCACATATTTATAGGCAACTGATCTTTGACAAAGTCAACAAGAACATCCATTGGGAAAAAGATACCATTTTCAATAAATGGTGCTAGGAAAATTAGATTGCCATATTTAGAAGATCTAAACTTGACCAGTATCTCTCATCATATACAAAAATCAACTCAAATGAATTAAGGGTTTTAATGTAACACCCAAAATTGTAAAAATACTAGAAGAAAATCTAAAGAAAACACTTCTGAACATTGGTCTAGACATAGAATTTATGACTAAAAGCTACAAATCACAAGTAACACAAACAAAAATACACAAATTGAACTTAATTAAACTAAAAAGCTTCCACACAGCAAAAGAACTAATCAACAAAGTGAACAGATAGTCCACAGAGTGGGAAAAAATATTTTCACACTATTTATAGGATGGGCACTAACATCCAGAAAGTTCAAAGAACTCAACTAAAAAAAAAATTTACAAATAATCCCACTACAAAGTAGAAAAAGGACAGGAATAGACATTTTTTTTTCAAAAGAAGGCATACAATTTGAACAGATATATGAAAAAATGGCCAACAGATATGTGAAAAAATCCTCAACATCACTAATCATCAGAGAAATATAAATCAAAACCACAATTAGATATCATCTGACCCCTGTCAGAATGGCTATTACTAAAATGACAAAAAATAACAGATATTGGGAAGGATGTAGAGACAAGGGAATGCATACACTCTTGGTGGGAATATAAATTAGTACAATCTCTATGAAAAATGGTATGGAGATTTCTTAAAGAACTAAGAATAGAACTACCATTTGATCCAGCAATCCCACCACTGGATATCTACCCAAAGGAAAAAAAAAATCATCATAATAAAAAGATAGCAGCACTTATATATTTGTTGCAGCAGCATTCACAATAGCAAAGATACAGAATCAACTGAACTGTCTATCATCGGATGACTGAATAAAGAAAATGAGGTACATATCACAATGGAATACTATTCAGCTGTGAAAAAAATAAAATAATGTCTTTTGCAGCAACATAGACAGAACTGGGGGTCATTTTAAATGAAAAAGCCAGACATAAAAAGCCAAATATCCCATGGTCTTACTCACAAGTGGTTGCTAAAAATGTGTACATATGGACATAGGGAATGAAATGATAGACAATGGAGACTTGGAAGGGTGGGAGGATGGAGCAGAGTGGGTGAAGAGAAATTCCTTTAATGGGTATAATGTATGTTATTCTAGTAATGGTTACTCTAATAGTCCTGACATGACCACTATACAATCTATGCGTGTAATATAGTTGTACTTCTACCCCAAAGACAAATGTAAACATGCTTTCTTCACAAAAAAAGAAAAGAAAAAAATAATAAAGAGTGATGGTTGCCTGTTGTTGGGTTTGAAAATTATATTAATTTTAAATGGGAAATAACAGACCTTGTTGGATTGACGGCAATGTATGAAACTCTATTGTAGTGATGATAAAGGTTATTAAATTCTACATTTACAAAAAAGTCATTGCATTGTACACTTACAATCGGTGAATTTTATTGTATATAAATTATGCTTTAATTAAGTCGTTAAGAATAAAGCCCAGTTACTATAGCTCAGATTGTCAGTGTAAAGTCTCGGATGTCTATGCCAATTCTAATATTCAGTAATTTATTTAAATGCTACATGTGGTAGCAATTGAATAGATTCTCTGTTTTCTCTTCTTATACACAAAGATAAATCATATTTCCAAGGTTTATAGTTCTTGTGTGATCAGTTCTGGCCAAAGAAATCTAGATAGAGCTTATTATAGCCTTTTCTGGATTGGTCTTTTACACTATATTCTTTTAACCTCATCCATGTGGGTGAAAGCAAATAATTTTAAGACATTGGAGATACACAATAGGAAAAGCACAAATCCAAGAGTGTCTACCTGGATCAACATATATACATAAACAAGAAATTGTTATATGGTGTTAAGTGATTGATATTTGCAGATTATCATTACCACAGCTTAACCTAGTTTACGACAGCCTAGCCTAGCTTGTAATATGTTACGTTTGCTATTCTATAAGATATCTGTGTTATCCAAATCCCTACCTATGATCACTATTCATTGTTTACATTCTTTTCTCAAGATAATTTTTCTTAACCCACTTTTATTTACTTGGTATGCTTTGCACACATCAGCATTTTAGCATTGACTCACTTTTATACTGACATATGCCAGAGTTGATGAGATGTCATTCTTCATTTTCTAATCCATAGTCATGCCTAAGGAAGTGATTTCTGTTGATTATATTTATTTTCTCCAAATATGAATTGTGATACCTATGTGTGATTTTGAGCTGCAATAAAAATTACCTTTAAAAATTAATTTTAAAAATGACACCACTGGAAACAGAAGATTATGGGTAGGAAGACAATTTATTATGTGTTTGTGAGAGAAGCCAACCAAGAGGAGAAACGAGATAGCGAGGCTCCGAGGAGGGAATGCAAGTGCATAGAGGTCACATGATTTAATAAGAATATGGGAGAGATAATAGGGAGAAATGGGAAAGAATATATAAAAGAGTACTCATGATCAGAAAGTCTGGAAGAAGGGAGCAGAGAGAATATCAGATCAGAGACTTCTGGAGCAGAGCCATAACCTGTCTATATTCAGGGACTGTGGGAATTGGGTGAATTTGAACAATGAGGGATTTGTGAGTTAATTCATTGTTCCAAGTGACTGAGTCTTCTTTTACCATATTAATCTTCCTAGATATGTTTATATTTTTATTTTGTGAGCTAATGAAGATTAGCTCCTTCTGAATGATCCTTTCATGGTCATAAATGAAGCCTGAGTCTTCTCTGGAAATACTGCTTCTCTCACTTTCCACCTACTATAGAGGCAGGAAGAAATTTGGCAACAATCTTGGTCTCCATTGATTTTCTAAATGAATACTCCTCTATCTCTGCATAATATGTGCCATTTAATGTTCTGCAATCAGATTACACAGTCTATTTTTTTCAGCGCTATTGTCTTCTTCCAGTCCCCTTATCTTTTTCCTATAAACTTAGATTTGGCCCTTACCAGACAACTGCTCTGTCATTATTTACATCCTGATCTTATTCCAATATTCATAGTGATTCAATTAGTACAGTAGCCTCTGTTTCTTAAACTTACCTCTAAAATCATCACTTCTGGTAGTGTTTTGAAGAAAGATTGACAGTCAAGACCAACAGATCTAGGTTTTACATTAATGGAAGGGATCCAGACACAAAAAGTACATACTCTATTATTCCATTCTAAAATAACACCAACAAAGAACATCATTCTCAGGAAACTGACACAAGAACAGAAAACCAAATACTGCATGCTCTCATTCATAGGCGGTGTTAAACAATGAGAACACATGGACACAGGGAGGGGAACATCACAACACAGGGGTATGCTGCAGGGAAGGGGGCTCGGGGGAGGGACAGCAAGGGGGCGGGGAGGTTGGGGAGGGATAACACTGGGAGAATGGCTGTTGCAGGTGACGGGGGGATGGAGACAGCAAACTACCATGGCATATGTGTTCCTATGCAACAATCCTGCAAGATCTGCACATGTACCCCAGAACTTAAAGTACAATAATAATAATAATAATAATAATAAAGAACGCCAAAACACACTAAACTAAACTTTGAAGTTAGAAGTCAGAAAAGTGAATGGAGCATCAGCGGGTATTTGGGGTGCTACAATGTTATGTTTCTTAATCTAGGTGCTTGTAATATGGGTGTATTAATTTGTTGAAAAGTAATCAAGCAGAAAATCTATTGTATGTGCACTTTAATATTATGTATTGTATACTTCAATAAAATATTCCTAAAATCAAAGAGACCTAGATTTAAATTTTGGCTC